TTTATCTGCAGTTAGTTACATGAATTAAGATATGGAGCTTTAATAAGTTGTACTTACACACAATCTACTTGTAATCTTGAGTTTTAAGTAACATGCATTAATAAACAGTATTTTATGCATAAAAAATGATTTTTAAGAGTTTTTGTCAAATGCTTTATAATATAGCATAGATATATGACATAAAAGTTTGTTGTCTCATGTTACGCCTTGAAAAACGCCAGGTCTTCACCATGACACGTAAGGCTTGAGGCTTGATCTTGCCGTCGCAACACACTCTAGCCATTTTGAACCTTGCATGTACCTAAATATCCCCATTTCATATATATAAATAAAATAATAGCATTATATTTAGATATATAACTTTAAATGTGATTTTAATTAAATCAATGACCTTCTAATCAGTATGAACCCAAATTTTCATTTATAGGTCAAGAGGTTATGGATTTAATTATAGTCACATTTAAGATTATATACCTGGATAGCCTGCTATATCTCAGTTTTGTAAAAATAACACAAAAACTCACCAAAAACCAATTTTTGATCTATATTATAAATGGTACTCAATTGTTACTTATTGGCTAACAAATTTTGATGTTGTAAACCAAATTAAAGCATGCTTCAAGACCATGCCTCTTATTATAAATCAACATATATGTCCCATTAAACAATTTTCTTATGCCATAACACCATAAAAATACAATAAACCTATAGTACAATAAAATCTCCAAAAAGTAGGGGACAAGAAAATACCTAAAGGATTGTTGGATCTTTGTATCTTTTAAAGATGGTTTCGATATCCGTCATCACATCAGGTGATAAGGGTCTCTCTGTCGTCAAGAAAGCATCAATATCCTCTTTTAATTGTTCTAAGGACGTAGCACCGATGATTGTGCTTGTCATGAACGGGCGGTCTCTAACAAATCCAAGTGCTAGTTCAACCGGACTCAGACCATGCTTCTTCGCCATTTCAATGTATTGTGCCGTTGCTTCCTGGCATACGAGAAAAGCGAATTTTGACTTCATGAAAAATATTGCAATTTACAAATGGGCCAGTGGCCCGGTAATCTCCCGGAGGTCACGAGTTCAAGCCTAATCCAACTTCAGGAGTGTGTGTGAGTTGCCATGTATATATGGGCAATAATAAAATGAAAACCCCATATATTATGAGAATCGTAAGAAGTTCTATCTTAAAGTATTGTTTCACATTTTCTTTTTCCATCAAAGGCTAGGATTTAAGGCATTTTGATTAACATATATTTGTTTCAGAATGTGTTTGTTTCATACGTATTTGATTCATATACATCATACTCCCAAAAAGAGAAGTATCACGATTTTCATGGAGGGAGGTACATGAGCTAAATTGGGGTAAAATGTATGCAAAACCCTAATTGCAAAAAAGATTTTTTTCACGGATACAGACTCTACCCCGTTGGGTGTAGAGGAATGGTCTACGCACATTTTACCCTACTCCATGTGGGGTTTACTGGTTTGGTTTAAATATAAGATTTAGGTAATAGTTAAATAAACACAAGTTACTATAAGAGTTAGGTTGGTTATGAAATAGTACCTTGGCAATGGATTTATTATATCTTTCCATGTATCCGGGGAACAACTGAAGCCTACCCTTTTTGGCAGCTTCAGACTCTAAATCCAAATACTTGCCACTTAATGATCCACCAGCCAGAGGAGAATAACAAAGTAACCCCACATTGCCATTCTTTGGGTGACATACTTCAACAAGATCAACTACAAAAATAAAACAACACCACACCAATTTGAACTTTTCTTTGAACATTTCAAGTTACAAACTCTGTTTCTGTACATGGTCACACCAGATTTTCTATATCCATGGCCATGATAAATACAAAGCAATCATCAACATGCTTGATCTAATGGCTAAAAATATAAGCCTTGAGATTTCATGTGTTTTATTGATTTAGAAAGTGCGTTCTCGTTTTTTGCTTTGAGTATACCTTCATTTGTTTGTTGGTTTTTACGTTAAGGAGATGAACAGAAAAAGAAGAAAGTGAAGAAGAAAAGAAGATAATAGAAAATTTCACCATTTTACCTCTTAAAAATGGCACATAGCAACTCAACAAACATTTTCAATGGAGACTCAAATCTGGGTACTTTTCTGTGCGCGAATTTTTTTCCAGTGTAGGGATCATTTCAAGCATATCACAAAATGTATAATCAAAGCAATAACAAGTTATGCAATCAAAAGTTCACAAAGCAATACATCTTGCACCTTGTAGTGGTAGACGATAGCATGATAAGAGAACTTACCTTCAAACTTGCATCTTACTAGCAGACTGTAACTGTTCTGAATGCTGACGATTTTTGGCAGTCCTTCAGACTTTGCAGCATGAATGAATTCCATGACTCCGTATGAAGTTTCATTTGAAACCCCAATGTAGCGTACCTAGGCATGAAAAAGAGTTGTTTTTATAAGCAAGTTTTCACATGTACTTTTGTTAGCATTCTTATAAAAAGCAGGAGAAGAATGTATTTCATGTCATCAGTCCTAATCCCCATCTATTTTATCTTCCTTTCCAGCATAACTTGCACAAGTTAGTCTATTTCGTAAACTGCGCTATTCACTCTTAATAAAAAGAAACATTCAGACTGTGGACCCACATGGGAAACTATTTTACCCCTCATACGCCACACTTGATGTTTTTACGGAGTTAAGAGTGAGACACTTGATAGCAATGAAATACGTAGTGCAAGGACTCATGACGGAGAATACGATATTATTTCCCAAGGGATGAAACCTGCAGATTGGACACGGGATGATTTCTGGAATTTAGTCCAACTAATATCTTCAAGTCCAACGTCCATAATCACCTTGCTAAGTCAATCCCTTCTACTTATATATATTATATAACATGTTTCAAAGCTAACCACTTCCATAAAAGAAGGATGATGTTCACAGTTCAGAGAACATGAACGGTGAGTTTCAATATTATTAGTGCTTGTTTACTCTAAAAGACCAACCATGAAATGATAGAGTGAAGTTTAATGTCAAAGCATGATCGGTAAATTAGTGAATCTGATTAAGATCATCATTAAAACATAGATAATCCGTAAAACAGTTTCTTAGAAAAAACCAAAACTTATAACTTAGATCTAAAAGTGTACTGAACTGAGAATGAAATAGAACACATGAGAAAAGGAAGTATTCTGCACAGGTCTGCTACTTCAGAGAAACTAAACAAGACTCCCTTTGTTCAAGGTTAGGAATTTCTATAATCATCAAACTAATGTCAAAAAGATTGAGTCGGAAGATGTCAATTATCAAACATTTCGTTGATAGTTGCAGAAATTCGATATCCAAACAATGAAAATGGAGAGCAAACGGCTATAGATGAAATACATCATTACCTTTCCTTGCTGAATAAGTTCTTCGAAGGCCCTGAGCTGTTCAAGAAATGGCACGCTTTGCCTCCATTTTGAAGGATCATAAAAGAACTCGCCAAACAAAGCCACATAGCGATCCGGCCTGGGAGGAATTAGGAACAAGATGTTAGCTAATAGCTATATATGATTTCTGAGTTGTACCAGATGCATGTGATGGTATTTCCCTAATTAAGTAGCCCTATATTTAGGAGATTAGTGGTGGATGGTTTTCAAGGTTGATTTGATTTTAGTTACTGAATATTGAATTAAACATCTTCGGGAGAGCCTGCTCAAAAGTACAACAATTTTGCATTTTTAATTCTTGTCATTGGTTTTCAATAAAAAATCGTTGGTTCCTTTTGTTGGTTATGCTATATAATATCAAGGATATGGGAGAACGATCATGTCTACTTAAAATAGCATATATATCTTATCTATAAGATCTATAGATGGCAAATTGTTGTAGACAACTTATATGTTAGGTGAAGCAAAATCTTTTTCTAAGGGCAAAAAGTTTGGCTCATGATAAGGACTTGAACAAAATGGCATAGGATTCAAAGGATATATCCGTATTCTAAGAAGTGCATAAGTATAGTATAGAGTATCAATATGGCAGTAGACCTGAAAAAATCATGAACTAGACATATACTAAACATTGATATAATGTCTCTCTTAACACGCCTCATTGGAGCATACAATAGGGACGGACCCAGGAATCTTTTTATACGGTGGCACCATATAATATAGACAAAAAAAATTACAAAAAGCACGGTTTTTATCGACATGTCTTCATGTTTTTACTAAGGTCAAAATCAATAGATGTGTTGTTAGCTGAATTCCACGGTTTCGAGGGATTTTTAAAGTTTTTTGCTTGATTTCAAGGAATTTTTTAGTTTTTTTTATCGATTTCGAGGGACTTTTTCGGGTTTTTTTGGTTGATTTCAATAGTTCTTTTCGGTTTTTTTGGTTGACTTTAAGAGTTTTTTTGGTTGATTACGAGGTACGGTTGCACCTTTTTGAACTTTTGAATATCATACGGTGGCACCTTCTAAAACGATACGGTTGCACCTTTCATAAACGTAAATTTTTTAACCTTTTGACAAAGAGATAATACGGTGGCACGTGCCACCGTATGCCCTTCCGTGGTTCCATCCATGAAAACATGCCATTCACCTCTATTAATGAGGTTGGGCATTAGACATAACTTTGCTAAAGCATTAAATGTGGTATGCCTGTGGTTAAGTATACGTATTCCAAAAGAATAAGAAATAACGGCAGGGGGGGTTTGGTAATTTCCATAAGGTGTTAGCATTCTGTTAGTGGAGGTTAAGTCCATAAGGCCTAGCATAAATACAGGCTGGGGGATTGGGAAGGAGGTTATGCAGATATTCAGTGAACTACCATTCTGGTAGATTGTGAGAAAGACTTCAGCCTCTGAAAGCTGAAGAACCATTTGTAATCGTTGTTTTAGCCTTGATGAAAAATCAGTCTCGGTTCGTACCAAAACGTCAAGAACCGTCAATAGAGACTCATGCCTAGTGGTCATGCAAGACAAGAGAGAGTACAATTCCTGGCTATTAATGATGAAAATACTTTCAAAAGATCAAAAAGATTATTTAAGGGTTCAGTACCTTCAAGATGCACATCACTCGAAATGAGAACTAGAATGTTGATGCCTACTCGCAAAGTCATCATTTGCTAAAAAGAATGATTTTAAGGAGGTTCTTTCTGAGCCGAAGATCATAGGCGGGAAGTCGTTTGAGCCAACCACAAACCCAATTAGATGGATCATGGATGACATCAAGACTTCCTTGATGTTAGTGATATTACCCAAAAGTCAATCATTAGATGATTGTATTTGGAAACAATTGAGTTATATTAATAAAGGCGTTGTCTATTTATCATGTTCCAATGCCATGCTCTATGTTGTAGGATGAACATGATAATAACCTTGAAATACGATTTTTAAGATGCCCCTAGTCAAGTACTACTTTAGACTAAGGTTGAAGTAGTACGGTTGAGACTAACATATGTAGAAACTCATATAGTTGATATGGAATTAACATATGGATACAAATTGGTGAACTTGTCTACTAGACAGACCCGCCACGAGAATGCTACATGAAATGTTACATGAGTATTATGTGTTTCTCATGAGGTCATTGTACAATAACAACCTTTGACTCGATGATCTTGAACCTAATATGGTTAAGTTCTTTGATGTTGGATTTAATCACGTCGTAACTGAGAGGCAGAATAGTCATTGGATGAATGATAAAATCATATAGTAAGACTTGCATTATCAAATATAGGATTTGTCTGCCCTATATGACAAGAGTGATGCCTCTCGGCCCCTTGATAGAATTATGAAACTCACCAATGAATTTGTAATAAATCGATGTAATCAGTATTAAGACGTTTCAAGCTTTTCTCCACACTTTCTTTGATGTTAGCAGCATCAACCCTCACAACTTCTGCATTATCTCGTATGTAACTTGATCTTTCCGAGTAACCAGACACTTTAGTGGCCAATATAATCTGCAATACACCAATGCCCCAAAGTGGAAATGAAGGTCGTGATCAGTTAATAGTCGAATCAATAAATAATTTGAACAAAAGAGCAAAGTGGTTCCATTGTTCAATGCAATATATTAATGTAAAGATTGATGGTTCTGAAAGGGTCTCAAATGCAAAGTGTTAAAATAACATTTAAGCGCAAAGTGAGCATGATTACTATTACATTAAGATTATTTTGTTAATTCCAAATAAGTTGCTTTCAAGAACATATTATGTTGTTGGCATACATCTTTTAACTTCAAATAGATTTAAAAACACGAAACACACTCCTAAACTAGATAAATAAAAGAAACAAAAGAAATGTCAAGAAGATTGTTGGAAGCATAAAATATGGATTACTTAGAATTATTCAACAAAAAACTGAATTGTCTTCAAGTAGTGTCAGACACAAAGTTCAGCAATTAATGCAAACATACAGGGATATTGATACCTTCTCTTTATCTGTACTTTCAGTTTAAATATATTATGTTATGATCTAATTGATCGATGGTGATACAAAGAGATTGTGACTAGATTGAAAAGAAGGAAAAGTACCTGATGACGAGGTTGAGATTTCAGCCAGTTTCCGATATAAATATCTGTTAATCCTTGTGTCTCCTTCTTCATTGGAATCGGATACTTTGAGAAAAATAGAATAGAGAAACAAGAGAAGTTAGAAGGGCTTGCAAAGGCAAATCACATAACTACTGAATGAGGAGTCGTCATCAATTTCTACATGTCAAGGTATAAATGTATTGGCTGTCATTTATTTATTTATTACCGCCATAATATGAAGTAGATGTGTGGATTCCTTCCTTCCCCGATCCTCCCGGCACATAACCAGGGTGGCATAGAGAACACCATCAGGTACAAGAAAACTTTCAGGATACCTTTTAGGCCATTCAGATGCATATGCTATGCTTTATCCAGTAACATATAGTTATATAATATATTTGTCTAATGCCCTTCTCCAACGGGATGTAGTAAAATACTATATTTTTGGAAAAACTAAATAAAATGAACATAATATAATGTGGTCGAAGGTTCAAAAGGTAAAGAGAAGATTCGACAGCATGTGGGACCAAAGAACAATTATGTTGTTACTTTTTGTCGTATATAAATATGTTAAGTTGTATCATATGGGATGCTATGCATTGATATATGGTTAATAGTCACAACATGGGAGATGGGGTGAGATAATTTGAGGCTTTCATGAGATTTTAGTTTGGATTTGTGGATTGAAGGCTTTTTGTCGATTTAATTTTTTTATAATGCGTTGTTCTTGTGATATGCACTTCCAACATGTTCCATTAAGTGAACAAGATCAAACAATATGATCAACCGTCTTCTCATAAACCGGAAAGTTCATCAAATCACAACCCCTTAAAGACAAAGAAATGCAAAAATTAATTAAGACGTACAATAAAAACATATATATGAATCCAATGATCCATTTCACTTGTCAGCATTGGGATGGATGATTTTCACTGAATGCATCTCAAACTGTTGAAAGTCCAAGTTCACATCCTATATTTATCTCTATCAGCCACCAGTCTCACAAATATCATGTTATCAATCCTCCGTAACTTTTGATCTAGCTGATGGTGTCATTATAATGATAGCAAAAAAAGTTGGAGATCATGCTGATTGGAGTTTAGGAAGTCCATATGTGTTTCATCAAACACTTGCTAGTAATTAGATATAACTGTATAAAAAAAGCAAATATGTAAATGCATGCTAAAGAAAGAGAATGTGAAATAGTGGGGATGATTATCTCTTACTGCTTCTGAAGTGTCCAACGTATTAATGCCATTTTCGAAGGCATAGGAAAGTATTTCATGAGCTTCCTTCTCTGTGTTCTGTTCCCCAAATGTCATCTGGAATTTAGTAAGAAATAGCAATTATCAGAACTTATTAAATCTGCTTTTATGAAAAAAGAATATTGTTCAATATAGATAAGCTGTACTTTACAGAGTCAACTGTTTAGAAGGAGAATAAGACCATAAAGACAAACAAAATAACTAAAATAGTAGTTAACATAGAAACATCTCAGAAGCAGTGAGTAAGTCATTAATTCATGCAAATAAATTATTTTAATACCTCATGAAAAACTAGCAGGCATGAAAAAAGCAACACACTTGGCTGTTCTACACTTGGAAATAAGCAGATGAGCAGTACTAATGCATGCCTGTTCTTCCTTATTTGATCAGAAGTGGCACAAGAGAAAAAGGGGAAAAGAGAAAATGGGTTTCCTTGGTTTGTGATATAAAACGTCGACCACATGTTAACAAATTTAGAACCTTCATATAAGATAGAATAGGCAGCAAACATCCAGGTATTGGATTCTTAACTTAAAGAGTTAAATCAACCTAAAGCAAGTTCTTCACCCGTTAGTTAGAAAACTAAAAACCAAAGGAATACAAGAACTCATGATAATTTCTTGAACTATGAATACTCTCACATAGAATCACAGCTCACACACCGAGTAAAACTAAAAACAAATGTATATATTTCTCTTGGATGATGATTTCAAGTACAAACAAGGCACCTATTTATAGGTCTCAAAAGATTATAAATAGGTGCCTTTATAGGTCTCAAAAAACTCAATTCACCGAAACAACCTCTGTACTCCTCGAAGTAGAGGTAAAGTCTATGTACATCCTATCCTCCCTAGACCCTACACAGTGTGGGTACACTGTGTTCATTTGGTTTTAGAAGACCCTCTCTAATTCTATGACTTCAAATTTCAATCAACTTTATTTCCAGGATTGAAGACATGTTATTAGTTCATGAATGTAGACATAAGCCCTCTCCATTTATATAGCTTATAAGACTTTTGACCATCTAATCATAAAATTATGCTAAAATATTCGAGATGGCTTTTCTAGAGTCTTATTGGACTTAAATATGACTTTTAACAAAAAGAAAAGGCTCAAATTGGGCTGCCAAAAATAATGTATCAGGAGATGCTTCTTTGGATTTCCCCAAAAATGTAGTAATCTTCAACAAAAACGCTCTTTTTATCCTCCATCATTGGCCCCCTTGCTTGTCAATAGCTCCAATTGAAGTAACCGGGTGTGTTACTTGAAATTCTTTCATGGATTTGGCTCCATTTGCTTGAAATTCCCCCACTAAGTTCAACAAAGCTTCCTTAATCCTTTTGACCTTGATCTTGTAATTAGGCCATCTTGATTAATGGTCTTTGAGTGGTTTAAGATTATGGTTGGATGGTCCTCCAGCTGTTCATCAATTGCAAATAGCATCCAAGGGGGGGGGGATAGGAATTTTCAAACTGGCAAAGGCCATGGATAGGAGGTGTCGAGACATAGGAAATGTAAGGTGTATTAAGGATGAGAGTGAGGACATTTTAGTGGAGGACGAGGACATTAGGGAGAGACAGGGTAGCTATTTTTAAGAGGTTTTTCATGAATCTCAAGAGAGAGAAGGGAAGGAGAGCATTGCAGGTCTGCAGTCGTTTGCAACTGTAGTTTTTGTCAGCGTATTACCATGGATAAGAGAAAGATGCACTTAAGAAGATGGGTAACGGAAAGGATGTACCTTGTCTGAACCCCATTTGAAACTCTGTTGCTAGACTCCACTCATGCTCCTCTACGGAGAAGCACTCTCTGCTATGCCTCCTCTATTGCACAAAGATTTTGATCCCCCTTTTAGTCCTTGCGCTATGAATTGGCTATCTTGTTGTTAATGGGCAGACGCCCGTCACCCGGTTGCTTATGGATCCCTTGGGTAGAGGGATAATGGGGGGTACAATATGAGGCGGGGTGGGCATCGGATTAGCAGACTTGAACTAGGGATAAGAAAGGGAATTTGTGGCATGGCAGTGTTTGGGGGAGATGGGTGTGCATTGGCTGACAAAGCTCTTTAATGTCATTTTTAAATCAGCCAGACGAGTGGACACTTATTGTGGTAGTGCCACTATATCAGAACAAAGGAGATGTGTAGAAATGCGGTAATTATAGAGGTATTAAGATTTTGAGTCATACCATGAAACTTTGAGAGAGAGTGCTTGAGTTTAGGGTGCGTCACAATGCGTTGTGAGTCACATGATACACTAACCAATTCGGGTTCATGCCGGGGAGGTCTTCGATAGAAGACATCCACCTTCTAAGACGGCTAATTGAGAAACATAGAGCATGTAGTAGAGTCTACATATGGTGTTCATTGATATAGAGAAGGCCTAGGACAGTGTACCTCGCTGTAGGATTTGGAGAAGCTTGAAGGATAGAGGGATCCCGTGGATGTATGTTAGGGCAATCCAAGATATGTACGCTAGGACTTTGACTTGTGTCAGACCCGTTAGGTGAGACAAAATACTTCCTAGTAGAAAATAAGTTTGCATCTGGGATCAGCACTAAGCCTTTTCTTCTTTTGGCGTGATTTTGGATGAGATTATGTGCGACATTCAGGATAGTGTTCCTTGGTGTATGTTATCCGCCGATGGTATTGCACTCATAGCAGAGTCAAAAGTTGAGGAAAATGCTAAGTTAGAGAGGTGGAGGGAAGCTTTAAAATTGCCAAGTGTGTGCATTAGTCGGTCTAAGACAGAATACCTATGGAGTAATTTTAACAAGGAACGTATTGACGAGGGTATAGAAGTACGCGTTGGGGAGCAAACAGTAGCCCAAACAGATAGTTTGAAGTACTTAGGCTCAATCATTTATAGGGAGGGTGAGATCGCAGACAATGTTACGCACCACAAAAAGGCAGGATGGTTAAAGTAGAGAGCAGCTACGTGAATGTTGTACGATAAGAGGGTCCATTTAAAACTGAAGGGAAAATTCTACAAGGTAGCCGTAAGACCAACTATGTTGCATGGTTCGGAGTTTTGGGTTGTAAAGAAGGCGCAAGTGAAGAAATCAGAAGTTGGACAGATGAGGATGTTGAGTTGGACGTGTTGCCAGACCATGGTAGATAGGATCTCGAACGAAATTTTTGTTTGGAACCAGGGGTTGTGCCTATCACAGGTAATTGGGATAGGGTAGATTGAGGTGGTTTGGGCATGTTCACTACAGTGGAGAGTGTGACAGTGGAGGTGGTGAAGGGAAGAGGTAGGCCTAGGAGAACATGGGATGATCAACTGAGGATGGATACGGCAAGCTTTAGGCATTTCCGAGGACATGACATCTGATAGCAGTCGTGGAAGCACAAGAATAGAGTGGCCATTTTTTAGTAGAATCATGTAGAGGGTGACGACAAGGGTTTTGAGAGGAGGGTAGAGATAAGGCGAACAGACCTCATACCTTAGTTTCTATTGTTTTACATGTTTTACCTAATTACATTTTCTGCTCCTACACCTTTGTAGCATGCACACACCATTAAATCCCAAATACCTGTTATACTTACCTATCTTTTCGCCTGCTTGCACACACCCTTGCATCATGTAGAAGCCGGAGGACTTCTTGGGAACAACCTCTCAATCCTAGTGGTTGAGGCAACATCTGTGTACATCTTACCCCTCCAAAGACCTACTCTTCGAGTGGGACATAGTGGGTTTGTTTGGTTTATCCAAGCCTTCTATTTCATGAGCATTCATTCTCCATATCATGCTCACATTATCAAGTCCTCACACAGAGATAAACAATGCTTATCACTAGAATTTAAGAATGTGCCCTAAAAAGAGTATCTACTTCGATGAACAATGCTTATTTTTATTAGAGGATATTAAATAAAATAAGCGGGTGGCATGTGTTTTCTAATAGCGACGTATCCTTTAACTTAGCATTTTAAATTGCACATCAATTGTATAAATCTATAAGATGATGACATTGTCGCCACATATGATGATTACCAATAAATTTTATTAGTTTCACAAAGAACATGCTGGTCAATGACCATAAATTTAGGTACAAGCATACATAAACATTGATATATGGAAAACAAAATTCGTATAAGCCACAATTAGCAGAAGAATGATGAAAACGAACGGAGAAAACAGAAAACAAAATATAATAAAAAAGAACTCACGGTGCCGAAAGTAATTTCACTGACTGTAAGGTCAGAATCCCCAACTTGATTAAACTGCATCGCGCTTCGTTGTGGTCGTGCCATGGCTGTGATAGTGGAGTCGAACTTCTTTTTGTTGAAGAAATTCCATGGCAATTTGAAGTAGCAGGTGGAGGCATGGAGAGACGAAATGCGGTTGTTGGATAGAAGGGGTAAAGTTATAGTCGGCGAAGTAGATGAAGTCATTTGGGTTTTCGTGCAGATCGGTGGTTGCTTCTCTCCGCCATTGAAAAGGTGTTTTTAAGGAGATGGATATGGACATATAGAAATGGCCGGCGTGGGATTGCTCTACGTGGATGCGGCCTGTGGATCGGTCGCCGCAAAAGCCAAAAATCCGTCCCAAACCCGTACCCAGATTGAAAATTACTTTCTGGTTCATAACGTTAAAATATTTAACTTCAATCCAATTTTTTTTTATTTACCAAAAGACTACCCGTACAATATAACAAGAAATATATTTTAATTTTAATGTTTCGTTTTTTTTTTTTTTATCTCAATCAATATTATAATATAATTTTATATGGTTTTAAGAAAGTATAATATTTTTACTTTTAAATAAAATATAAATATGAAAATATGATAAAAAATATTGATATTAAACTATTTAAAATTTCTTTCTTTTTGTTTATTTTTTTTATTTTTTGGTTTAATAATATAATTTTTTTATAAAGATAATAATTAAGTATTTTATTAGAGGTTAATGATTATCTTAATTATATTTTAGATTTTTTATATTTATAATGAGATGTTTATTCTTTATTTAATTAGATTTATCTGCAGTTAGTTACATGAAGCTTTAATAAGTTGCACTTATACGCAATGTAATTGTAATCTTGAATTTTAAGACTATCTTTATTCACAAACCAAACCAAACCAATCTTTATTAAAAAATTAATTTCTCTCTCTTCCACCTACCCAAACTTTAATTCCAATCCAATTTAACTTTTTTCATATTTTATTCACAATCCAAACCAATCTTTAAAAATATATTATAAAATTATATATTTATATTTTAGAATATATATATATATATATATATATATATATGTATACATATATCTTTTAACTTTAAATAAAAAATA